CGCCCCGCCCCTGCCCGCCCAGGGCTTCCTCCCCCCCGGTGGCCGCTCCCCACCACCCCGCAGCGCAGCCCAACGGCCTCTCCCCGGAGGGGCCTGTCTACCGCTGCCAGGAGGAGGGCCTGGGGCACTTTCAGGCCGTGATGATGGGGCAGATGGGCCCGGGCGGCGCCGTGAGAGGTCCTTTCCAGGACGCCTACAGACCAGCCGGGTAAGACTGCAGCTCCTGCCTTTTGCGTTGTATCTTTTTTTTTTTCCCTTAATTAAAGAGCAAGTCAGGGCCAGCAGGTGGCCTGGTGGTTGAGGCGCTGGACTCTCACATGGCCAACCATGATTCAAGTCCCAGACCTGGCAGCTTCAGAATGGGGCCAGAGCGTGTGTGTGCCCAAAACCCTGAGGGAATCAGGACAAGGGACTGCGCGGCCATGCCCCCAGGGGATGGTTTCCCACTTTCTCTCCCTGTTTCTGTTTCTAGCAAGTGTACGCACTCTGTGGCAAAAACTGTTAAAACAAAAGGCAAACTGACATTTAGATGTTTGATTGGATTTTGATATTATAAGCTCAGTGACCCCAGCCTGAGGCCGGAGGCAGAGGCTGTCACTTTGCTATCGTTCAAACACTAACCAAAGCAGAATGACTGCCCCGGGCTGGAGCAGAGTGCGTGTATTCTGGTTTTACTCCACGGCGCTCTTTTCCCTATCACTGAATTTAAGCTTTCCCAGAACTGCACGAGTCATGCACCATCCCTGGGAGACCTCCTCCTGACTAGTTGTGGAGTGATCTGTGTTAGTTAGGCCCAGTGAGGGCCTCCCATCCAGGGAGACTTTACATTAACAAGATGAGAAAGCGGTTAGATGAGCTTCCTTATAAGAGAGCCGTGAAGTCTCATCGTAACACTGGTGCTGTCAGCTTAAAAACCAGCCGCCGGGGTTCAAACCACAGTCGGCCATGTGGAATTTGGCTCCCTAACCCTTAGGCACCAGTGCCATCCTGTCTTACCACTCAGTCTGCTCCTTTAGCATTTTACCACATGTGCTATAGAGTGCATGCGATCGCTAGAGAGACGGGAAGAAAGAAATCACCCTTTGGGGAAATGGCCACCACAGCCCCTTCTCCATTCTCTTGGGATTTTGGGCACGTGCACACACACACACACCCGGTGTGAGTCTTAAGCCACTAGGTCTGGGATGCAAACCACAGTCAACCATGTGGGGGTTCAGTGACGTAACCATCTGCTGGTCCCACCTTACTGTTTTTTTAAAAACATTATTTATCTGTTTATTGCCGGGGTCCAGCTTCAGCGGGGGGTGGGTTGACTCGTCGGAGGCGGCGCAGGTGAACAGAAGACAAAGTCCTCGGTGCCTTTTTCATGCACGTCCTTAGCCGGACACCCCCCCAGAGATCGCTCTCTGAAGAGTGACAACTGCTAGAAATCATCGTGCGTTTTTATTGAAAATGTGATACATGCAAGTAAACAGGAGAGGGGCTACGTGTTTCAATTATTAGCTCATAAAGTTTTTAACAATAGAGAACATAGATTCTATTTAGGGTTGGATTAAGGGTGGGTCTAGGGCAGTTCCGCAATTGTTCCGTTTGATGTAAGTGGGTCTCCATGGAATGCAGTTTCGGGAAAGTGGCTCCAGCAAGCAGAGGTGATTATCAGCTGATGCAGTGCAGCAGCCATCTTGTGATTACCGGGAATGGTGCTGAGAAAAGAAAATCTCAAGTATAGACATTAGTTCTTATGGATCTTAATAAACAATGGAACTTACATAGTTTTATAGGGATCTAAAACTTAATTTTATCTTTTTTTAAAAAAAGAAGAAAAGATTATCTTTAAGTTTATGTTAAGTGTATCGTGAAGGGCCTTCCAAAGGTTGATCATTTCTGCCTAGATAGAACTTCAGCCCACCCTCTATTGTGACCACGGAGATAAAGCATTGTAATGAACAGTAGGTGATCAGGGCAGAGGGGAGTGGTCGGAGGACTTTTGGGAAAATCTTATTACATACTCAAGAGTACTAAATAATTTTTTTATAATATATCAGGGAGTCAGAGGGGGGTCGCTTCCCAGCAAGGCTACCACCGTTTTCTGGACCAAATAGCAAGCAGCCTTGCTGACATGCTAATTTTTATTCCTAGGTCGGGGGGCGGGGGGGTGTACACAGCAGCGGCCTTGCCAAGGTGCTATACTGACCTGAGAGGTAGAAGTCAAAAGCTCAACACAGATCCTGGGGCCCTACTGGGTCGGACTCCTCCAGTTTATCTCTATATCTGTTGTGATTTTCGAGCCACCAGGTCCAGGACTCAAACCAAGGCCGATCATATGGGAATCCAATGTCTTAACCACCATGCCACTTGCTGGCTCCACCATGTTTGCCTCATCTATCTGTAGATATTGTTTATATTTTATTGCATTTCTCTTCATAAACCATCAGAAAGTAAGTTGCAGACTTTGAGATCCTTAATGACTAAATATCCCAACACCTTCAGAATAAAGACCTCTTACTGCATTCAAAACTACACCACTCTCAAGGAAAATACGTGACCAATATCTAATCCTTAGTAAATGTCATCCTCAAAATGTCTTTCAGAGAGCTGTGTGTGTGAGGGTTTTAAAATTATTATTGCTTACTTTGCTGTAGGGCACATAATGTTCACCAGAGAGAGACAGAGGAAGAGAGAAAGCAAGCTGCCAAGTCCGGGACTTGAACTGTGGTCTGCTATGTGGGAGTCCTGCATCCTGCTGGCCTAGCTATGTTTGGTTTTATTTTGAGTGTTTCTGGTCTGGGATTCAATCAAGGCTCAAGTATTTGTGTCTGGTTGCTATGTTGGTTTACTCTTAGAAATAACATCACTTCTTGGTTTAGTTTGGCTTTTCAGAGCTGGGGGAATTCTCGTACAGTGTCTCTGTTTCTGGGTTTGCCTCATTTTCCCTTGTGGCTAGATAAGACACTTTGTTGGTTACATACGTAGGTGTTCTCGTGTGTTTCTTTCTTTCTTAAGAATTATTTTATTGGGGACCAGCAGGTGGCATGGTGGTTAAGGCACTGGACACTCACACATGGCCCACCATGGTTCAAATCTCAGACTTGGTGGCTTGCTTTCTCACTTTCTCTCTCTCTGTCTCTCTTTGATCAAATTAAAATAAATGAATAAATAAAACTAATTATTTTATTTAACTAACTTTATTTATTTACTTATTTATTTTAGCTTGACCAGAGAGAGACAGGGGGGCAAGGGTTAATGAGAAAGCCAGCCGCCAAGTCCAGGACTCGAACCACAGTCAGCCACGTGGGCGTCCAGCACCCTCCACCACACCACCTGCCGGCCCCACCCTCACACGTTTCTTACTGAGTCACGCAGGGCACGTGCTGTCACTGTGTGCCAGTCTTGAAGACCAGGTTTAATGCCTGGGTGATCAGGGTGTGTTTTCATAAGTATCTTCTGTCCCCGTTGCTGTGTGTCCTGCGAATTTTTGACCGTCCTTCTGTTTCGGTATAGAGTGCAGATCCATCCAGTACCGTCCTTCCCAAAGACCCCGGCACCAACAACGGCACAGGAAGAGCTGCCGCCACCTAAGCCCCCAACACTTCCTCTAGACCAGGTGAGAATGACCAGAATTAGTTTTTTTCTCATCCCTCGAGGTGATGGAAAATAAGCAGAGTGCTGTTCTGAAAAAAATACTTTGTAGTTTCTAGAAGGTGTTGTGCTTGCCAGAGAGAGAAAGCAGCTCCAGTCAGGTGTCATGCACGCGCGTGCCTGCCTGGTACACTTGTGAAGGAGCGGGGCTGGGGTTCAAACCGCACAGGTTGGCTCTGAAAAATATGTCAAGGTTACCTGTTGATAGAGGAACTTTTCCTGACAGTGCTTTGCGTACTGTGGGCCACCGGGTAGAGGGTCACCAAGGCCCTGTGCCGCCCACTACCTTGCCGGCGACCGGGAGCGGAGGCCACGGGAGGCGTGTCTCTGCTCGCGTGTTCCCTGTCCTGTTCCTGTGTGGTCACCAGCCGTCTGGAGAGTATGTTTGCCTCATCATTTCCAGGCAGGCCACCCATGGGTTTGGGCTGTGACTCCTCATCTGACCTCCTGCCTGCTGCACTGGGAGGGACCAGTGAGGTCCAGAGCAGAAGTGGCCTGGCCACCTCTGGGAGCTGCCCTGTGCACAGTCGCACCCAGCCTCTCCTTCCCCCAAGGCATAGCTGTCCTCATGGCCCAGCGTGTGCCAAGTCCTGCAAGCCACCAAGCCCCAGGCTAGAGTCGGACCGAGAACCTCCCCCGGGAGTCTGCTCCGGCTGATAGCACCAGGTCACATGTCCCCTCGCGGAGAAGCGGACACAGCTCTTTGGCGTTTGTAAATTTTTAACATTTAGCATAATTTATACCCTTGCTTAAACGTCTGTATTCTTGTCTGTCTCAGAGCTAGTCCGAGGAGGGGAGAATCCCCACAGAAGTGGAAAGCTGCACGTGGAGAATGGATCGCGGGGAGCCTGGGGGCACTCCTGCCCGTCTCCACTCCCTTCACCCCGCTCCGCCCCCACCACATGGCCAGCACAGGAGCCGCCACGAGCCCGAAGCACCCCCACAGATGACGGACACGCAGCTGGCAGAGTCCCGGGGAGGGGCCTCTCACAGAGCCAGCAGGATGGATACGCGAGCCCGGGGACCTGGGCGGTTGTTCCCATCTCAAGACTCCTGTTCAGGGACAGCCACATTGAACTTGGGGAGGGTGCGCTAAGGATGGAGTGGTGCTCTAACTCGCACGAGCAGCTAAACTCAGGTACCTGTTCGGGGAAGGACTACGCGTAGTATTGATGTTTTGGAGCTGGGTCCAGTTTACAGAATTTTCATGTTGCCTTTTAAAATACTTTGGTTGGTGGTGAATGTATGTATGTGATGTGGGGTGGGAGGCCTCGCTGGTGGGCTTGCAGCACTGGAGGGTCTTCTCTGTTTACAATCATGTCACACTGAATACTGGGGACTGAGGCTCGGGCTGTGAGCCGTCACCGACTGCCTCCTTGGTGGCCCACTGGCCGGCAGCAGCACCAGGCCTCCCTGCAGCCAGCCTACGAGGGCGCGGTCGTGGTCCTGTCTGCCCCAGCCGGCAGGGGCTCAGTCCTGAGAGCACATGCTCGCACACGCCCTCCCAGAAGCTCCAGCCCAGAGGCGGGCTGCAGGCACCCTGGGGGCCTGAGTCCTGGGCTCCGGAAGGTGGTCCCTTGCTGGGAGTGCCGCCATGCAGTCCAGAACGCTGTAAACCCAGCACCAGGGATTAGGGGCACTGGGGCGTTTCACTTGGTAGAAGGTAAGGTCAAGGTCCTCCTCACAGGCCTGTCCGACTGTGACCTGGAAGGCAGCACGGCCTTCTAGCACAAATCGCGTTTTGTGGAAATGACTACTCAGGTTCGTATGTTAGTATCAATAAAGAAATTGCACAGGTTTGAATAGGAAGAGTAAGTTCCATAGACGATTGACAGTTTGAATTTAGGAATATCTCAGTATATATAGTTTTTGTTCATTTTAAGTGAATCATAGTAAAACCAGTCATGATTGAAATAGCTATCAAGGACACGTTCTTGGAAGTGATTGTCGTATCTATACTAGGAAGCAATTTTACAGTATTAAATTACTTAATTACAGTTTTAGGAGCGAGTTACACTGGATTCTCCCTGCTTAGCATTCTGTATCTGCTTTTAGCTGAGATGTCACCAAAGTTAGGAGTCGAGATTTAAACTTTCAAACATCTCATAAAGAGGGAGAGGAGAATTAAGGAGAATGTCCTGAAATTACAGGTCTCACAGAGGATAGCGTATTTCGAAGCATGCCTTTGGGTTAGTAGAAAAGCCTCCATAAAACGTTAATCTGCCCTAATTTCTCTTACATTCAGCTATGGAGGAGCGAGTTGACTCTCCCCTCCGGTTCCAGCACCGTCCACGGGACGTGGAGCTGTCACTTGTAGTTTGCTGAGGACGTGCTGTCACTGGGGACAGGGACAGATCAGAACCTCCCGCGTTCCAGAGACAGAGCCCAGGACTCCAGCTCCAGAGTGGCAGAACGCAGGGCCACCGCGGGCACTAGCCTGGTGCAGTGCCGAGGCTCAGGCACAGTTCCAAGCAGGTTGAGAACCCAGGTGGTTCTGAGGCAGAATGCACAGAAAGACTTCTCGCTAACAGACTTTAATTTTAAATATGCCATCTAGAGAGAGGAGCTGGGTTTTGAGGTCATATTCTCTCGTCATCCTTAGTCTTAGGAGAAGACTGTGCCCAGCATAACCCGGCTGGGAATGCACTAACCTAGCTGAGCAGCCCAGCGGCCGCAGGCCTCTTCCAAGGTGCTCCAGCCGTAGGGCTTGCTCTGAGCCAGCAGCCGGCCAGCCACACCCTCTCCTCCTGCCCTGTGGGGTTGACAGCTGGCCTCCCTGCTGCAGGTAATCTGTCTCCCATCCTCTCATTGCCGGACAGAGGCTGTGAGCAGTACAGGAAGCAGGCAGGTGAGCCTCCCCTCCACCCCTCCCAGGTTCCTAGACGGACGAGAAACTACGGAGAGCAGCAGGAAATCCAGCTACTGTATTCAGTCCCAACACTGAGCAAAGGGCAGCCTGAGGGCAGGCCCATGGGCCCACTGGCCCCTGGCCCGCTGCACCCCAGCAGGAGCCAGCATGGCCACAGCTGCTCCGCCTACCCGCCAAGTCCCTGTCCCTGCTAAAAGCGGTCAGGAGCTGCGAGGTTGCAGGAACAGGGCAGACCAGGGGCTGCTGTACCAGGGCCTCTTGTCCCCGAGCAGGGTCCTCCCTTCTGCCCTGTCCCTCACCCCCAGCACTTCTTCCCAAGTGTCTTAAGCAGGTGGGAGTGCAGTCGCCGTTAGGGACGCAAAGGTCACGTGGTCACTGTAATTAGCACTCGGGAAGGGCATCCCCCGGAAGTGTGCTCTCGTGCTACAAGGATGCTTACCCTGAAAGTCAGCGTCACCGTATCCATGTGCCAGTTCTCAGGGCCCCGGAAGGGGGTGGCTGAGGTCCACGGATCATCGGAGTCACTCTCAGAGCCCATCTGATGTCACACACTCACGAGCGACCTTCATTTGTGGTGGTAGTGGTTAGCAGCTGTTTCCCCACGGCCCAAGAGAAGCAGAAGACCCAGGAAAAAACAGCCTTTTCAAAGGTTTCTGGGTTTTTTGGGCTTTTCTCAGAGTCTGTTTAAAAAGTCGCAGGAGCTGTTGGCTAAAAATACTCTGGTGGCAGAACGTGGAGAATAAACGTGAACGAAACGTGCAGGGTTCTTGTTCATGGAGTTTTCCATCCCACTCTCTTTTTAGAGAGGTTTTTGCTATAAGGTGCCTGCACTCACCAGAGAGAGAAAATGAAAAATCACCAAGAGGAGATGGCCACGCCTCAATCCCTGTCTCTCCATTCTCGGGATCTTGTGCGTGCATGCACACATGCCCAGGAGTTTCTACCCACCGGATCTGGGACTCAAACCAGTCAGCCATGTGGGAGCCAGCACCTTACCCACTGTGCCACCTGCTGGTCCCTCCGTCCCACTCTAACGGTCACTCAGAGACACCTGGCCCCTCAGCCAGGCCAGTGCAGCCCTCCCGCAGTTGCCCTTCTCACCGAGCCTAAGCCAGCCTGCTCTGAAAAGCAAACTCTTGTGCTCACTTTATTTTCTGTTGTTGAAAACCTTAAGATCTCTGGTTTGTGCCCTTGGGGTCAAGCAAGCCCTCCGCTGTAAAGGTCAGTCCACCCCGGCCTGGCGCTGGGAAGCGTCTCTGCCCGAGTGTGGTGTCTTCCCCTGCTATGAAGCCCGTGTGGATGCCGCTGTTCCTTACGTGGGTCCCTGCTGGGGGCCGAGGGCAGCTGAACTGCCCCAGGTGCCCACACCTGTGCCGGGGCGCCACCAGTCAGAAGTGAGCTTTGCATCCAGACCATGCCGTTAGACTCTCTCTCCTAGTACACTATTCTTAAAGCCTGAGTTTTAAATGTCACAGGAAGGCGCAGCAGCAATCTCAAGGCCAGGCAGCCCCAGGCTCCATACCATCGGGATATGCCATGCTTCCCCAGAGAAATGGATGGCAGTGCCGTTCTCACCTGACTGCCCTTCACGTCTGTCAGACCCTGCACGCCCCCTGCAGAAGCTGTGCCCGTGTCCGGGGGGTCCTCAGGCCCTGGGCAGCAGCTGCAGTGGGCACTCTAGGGCACGTGGAGCACCCAGGCTCTCCTCCCTGTTTGGGAACCACGGTGGGCTCCCCACAGGCCGAGGACACTGGGCCCTGTGCCTCCCTTTGGGAAAGCAAGTTGGGATGACCATGGCCGCATGCATGTCCCAGACGTCAGGGGCCGTCTCCAGCTCGAGCTGAGCTTGGTACCTGGGCACTCTGCTCGAGGGCCTGCTCACCAGCCAGGTCCTCCGTGTCACACGGGGGCAGGTGTGTGGGAACAGGGTATGGCTAAGTTCTAAGGTGCTGGCCCGTCATGGCCTGTGCCCAGCTGGGGTTCTCCTGCCTTGTTCACAGCACCTGGGAGCGGGGCGTGCCCTCCGGCCCAAGCCCGGTGTCAGGCCCTGCCGCAGAAGCAGAGCTGTGCGCACTTCCCTAGCCAGGGCTGGAAAGGGATGCTATTTATTTTTGTATTGTGTGTATTTTGTCGTGGTCTGCTGATTTCCTGTCCCACTGAGAGCGACACTTACCTCAATAGTTAGTCGATATTGTGTGTTGGATGATTTTTTAAAAGAACTTTTTAAAAAGCTTTTGATCCTTGGAGGTCTGTAGATTTATTTCCATATGAACTGGTTATTTTGTATAAAGTACATTCTTAAAATAGTAAGGCTCTGGTGTGTGTGTCTGTGTGTCTGTTCTGTCAAGGCAGACTTGGGGCTCTCACCAGGACGGGCTGGAGCGGGCCACAAAACACTCCTGGAGTCAGAATGAACACCGCTCCTAGCTACTCTGCCTCACACCGCTTGCACGCCCACCCCAGCACCCCCACACGCCCACCTGCACCATCACTGGCAGAGGGACCTGCTCTTCCAGTGTGGTCCACCTGGGGCGCTGTGTGGATGAGGGCGAGGACAAGCCATGGCAGCACGGGGCCGCTGGAGCCTGGAGCCATCGGCGCCACAGCCAGCCACAAGTGGGAACCTCTCGCCTGGGCAAGCAGTGCTTTTCCACCTGCCCAGGTTTGTCATTGCCGGATCCTGGGAAGCCACGTTCTCACTGAGCAGGACACCAGACCTGGGCATGGACTGTGCCCTCCCGCTTGGTCTCCAGGGGCTTGGTGTCCACGTGGTCCACATGTGTCCTGTTGCTGTTTTAAACTGTTTACAGTTCAAGTCATTTTCCCATGAAAAGCATCTCTCCTGCTCCGCCACAGGGAACAAACAGGTAGCCGGAGCTGCTGTGCGGCAGCCGGGCTGTGGGGCAGGCCTGGTTTGGTTCCGCCCGATCTGAGCACGCCAGGCTTGCACTCTGGTCCCAGCTGTCTGGGTGGCTGGGGCTGGAGGGTGAGTTGTGACAAGCCCGTCCAGAATTCCTCCCTCTCAAGCCCTCTAGTTGCAAAAAATAATAAATAAATAAAGGTTCTTTCCTATAACACATTTCACACTGGCCACATTTTCTACTTTGGTAGTTGCAATTTAATACGCTTTCTGAAACAAAATCGACTTTAAAGTGAAAAGCGTTCGTGAGCCCTGCATCCGACATCTGCTGGGCCGCGGCATGACTGGCTCGTGTTCCCTTCTGCCCTGGTGGGTGGGTGGCACCGCCATGTCCTGTACTCCTTCACTGCGCCAGCTTACCAAACCTGTCCAGCTGCAGCACACGCAGCTCGAGGACACACAGCACCACCCATGCATGCGTACACCTGCCACAACCCGAGAGCCACATGGACGCCGGTTGTAACTGGGATTCCCAACTGGCACCAATCCCTCACCAGCCAGCACGGACCACTGAGCACTTCATCTCACGATAAGCTTAGTTTTCTGTTTTTAACAGCTGAGTGCCTGGGACCAGCAGTTAGCGTAATGACTATGTCGCTAGACTCCCATGTTAGTAGCCCACAGTTCAAATCCCGGACCCAGTGGCTTGAACTCAGGCCGGGTATGTGTGCGTGCCCAAGATCCCGAGAGGAGAATGGAGGAGAAGGGATTGCGGCGTGACCATCCTCCCAGGGGGTGATTCTTGCTTTCTCTTTCTGGCGAGCGCACACACCTTATAGCAAAAACCTCTTAAAAAAAAAAAAGAAAAGAATGTGTGGCACATACACACAATGGACTACTGCACAGCCATGAGGGACAATGAGATCCTGTCACATGACACTGAATGGACAAACTTCAAAGATACAATGCTAAATGAAATAAGCCAGGTTGTGAAAGACAAACACTGTATGTCCCACTTAGCCAATTTGGGACCAGCAGTTGTAATGGCTATGTCGCTGGACTGCCAGGTAGTGGGCCACAGTTCGAGTCCCGGACCCAGTGTCTTAAACTCATACTGGCGCATGTGCGTGCGTGCCCAAGTTCCCGAGAGGAGAATGGAGGAGAAGGGATTGCTGCGTGGCCATCCCCCCTGGGGGGTGATTTCTCGCTTTCTGTCTCCATCTCTCTCTTTCTGGCAGCACACACACCCTATAGCAAAAACCTCTCCAAAAAGAAAAGCCAAGCCAAGTGCCTTTAGAGTGTTCCCAGACCCCAAACAGCAATGAAGGAGCAAAGGCAGTGCTGCCCTGGGCCCCGTGACCTCGTTCTGTGAGACCTCAACCTGAGCACACGCTGGGCACCACGGGTAACATCTCACACACGCAGTCTGACCCAGTGCGCTTCCTTAAAATGAGGGCATACGAAGGAGAGTAAGATTGAGGAGAAAGGAGCCGTTGCTGTTTCGGTTTTTGGGTTTTTTTTTGCCATGGGGCACATTTGCTCACCAGAGAGACAGAGGGAAGGAAAGTGAGGACTCTCCCTCCAGGGGAGGACCATACTGCATATGCTTTTCCTCCGTTCTCCTGGGATCTTGGGTGCGCACACACACGTGCACACAGCCCAGCATGAGTTTCAAGCCCTCAGGTCCAGACTGGAACCGCGGTGGGCATCCAGCGCCTTAACCACTACGCCTGCCGCTAGCTCATGATCCATTCCCACACTAGGGCACCTCCAAAGGCTCCTTTCGTTAGTGACGTCTGTGTCTGACGAGGCCCGTGCAGGGAGGAACCGTGTCTTCATCTTAGCACCCAGCCCAGGTCTGAGCACTGTTAACACAGAGGGCGCCCCGAGTGGTTCTGCGAGGCCGACTCTCCCTGGCACCTCCGCAGGGCTGAGGCCTGGATTGGGAAGTCCTTACGCAAGAGGTGCCTTTGGAGTGAATGCCGCCGACAGCTGGCACCAGGGCCTGCTGGCTTGGCTGCAGAGACAGGCAGCCCAGCCAGGCTGGGGCGCCTGGGTGGGCACAGCACCCCCGCCCCGGGCCTCCATGGAGCAGCCCGGTAGATCTGCTCCCCTGGCCTCGGGGTCTCCTGGTGTTTCCTGAAAGGCCAGCGTCCTTGCGGCTTTAGTCCCCTTTCTGCCCACCAGGCTCACCCTCCATTTCTGCAGGCGATCTGAGCAAACTGCCCCGCCCGGCCTGGCCGGGCCCAGCAGTGCAGCCACCAGGGCCGCTGAAAACCCCAGGGCTGGCTATTGTGCTGAAAGCCCTGCCTCGCATATCAATTCAGGGCCCTGGAGCAGTCGTCCCCAGGGTGGCCGGAGAAGCACAGCCTGGGCCGAGCCCTGCATCTACTGCTCTGGGCAGCCCAGCCTCATCCTGCCCAGGAGAGCTGGGCCGGGTTTTCAAAGCCGGGAGCCGTCCCTGGGGTGGTACCCCGGCCTCTTCGGGCAGAAACGGCCGGTTGTGGAGAGGGAGAGGGAGAGGCGCCAGAAGCCCGGTGGGTGAAGGCTGCGCCGTCAGGCGCAGTACTAACAGCGCCGCGCAGA